TGACAAGGCTATTGATGAAGACCTGCTCCTGTTGCCTTTCACATAATGGAAAATCCCAACTTGAGTTAAATGCAGGAGGGGCAGGCCTATGGAGAAATTGTGGCAGGAAGTACATGAGCGTTTCCTTCTACTTCCAGCTAATAACATATAAACCTTCTGGAGGAACTGTCACATAGGAGGGGATCTCGACATTCTTCGTCAGAGTTGTCTGCTCTGGCAAGCGTTTGTCCATGCAGACAGGGCACCGCTGTGAGGAAAGGGGGTCAACATGCTTAATCAGCAAGAAAGAACAGAGAAGAAATTATGGGCTGTGGGTTCAATGTTCAGAAGTATCCAAGTGACTTAGGCATGTATGAGTCTAAGATTAAACAAAAGCTTCCCATCAAAATTGCGCCCATATTATTATTACTGACCTAGAGGCCTCTTTGTCTAGTTCCTATTACCTCTTCCAGCCAACCTCTACTTGGGCCAGGCAGGCTTTCAAAGACAGGATAGATGCTCCTTCTAGGTGGCTAGTTCTTCACAGAAGCCAAAAGCACGGGATATTTTATATGTGTGAGTGATGTAACGTAACATATTATTTATGCACCCACTTCCTGGAAAGCCACATAGCAGAGAGATTTTAGACCCATTAGGGACAAGGGTCCAGGCTAGAGCGCAGGGCCCTATCCCTTCCTGGCCAGCTGCAGCCACCTCACTGAGCCCAACACACCTAGGTTGCTCTTCCTCTTCTGCTTCCACATCTCTATCTCTCCTGACTGTTCAGGGGCCGGTTTCAGAAGGATCGACCAAGGCAACCTTGGTAAATGCATGAATGCTGCTGTGATGATTAAAGCACTGTACTTAGAAATCAGAAAGAGAGGAAAAAAAGAGGTTGGAATCCTTTTGGGGTAAAGGGCACCTAGCACCCAGATCTCTGGTTTCCTGAACAAGTGTCCTAAGCAGGCAAATGTAGGAGCTCAGAGCACATGCTCAGATGACACAGGTATAATTACACGTCCAGGCTGCCAGGGGAAATAGTATTTTTATCTCTGCAAAAGATGAATTGGCACCTGCATGATTACAACCTGCCATTTACACCCACAAGGGGAAACAAAAAGTGCTGTGTCTGGTGGGAACTTTTAGGTTCCTTTAAGAAAAATGTGGTCATAGGAGATTTTTAGTTCTTTGACCTTAGTAAAAAGCTCTTCTTACCACAAACTATTAGTGAGCCTATGAATATGACTGGAAAGGAAAGAAAGGGAACTGAAATAACAAGAAGAGACCATTGATTCAATATGAACTTTCATTACCTGGACAGATCACAGCTCTTTTCCACCCTGAAACAAAGAGAAACAGTGGTATTTATCTGAACAAATGCAGCTGTAAAAGGATTCTTGGATGAGGAGCATCTGAGCCAAGCAAAAGCCAGGAAAGACCAGAGTGGTGCTGGACACAAATGGGGCAACATATAGTAGGACTAACTGGGACACTGTCATTTCCTGTCACTAAAACTATACAGACCACATCCATCAAAGTGATGTCAGATCTCTTGGTGCTGCTTGGCCATTTCTAAATTGCTGTGACCAGAGCACCTCAGTATCCAAAGACACCACTGACTTGCAACTGCTGTACCCTTTGCCTCAGAGAGGGCCTGGCTCCAGAGATACTTCTGTTACTGCCAAGTAGGCAGGATTATTGCTATTTATTCTCTCTGACCTGACTGAGAAGTTTCTGGTAGGTACCGAATAAAGCTGCCTGTTTTCTCCATGGCTTAGGGTACTTTGTATACATGAGGCACAAGTTGAAGTCCCTTCAATGATTCCCAACCACATTGTGATACCATCTTAAGTCCTTGTTCAAATGAATTAATGGCTGCATCTCCAGTTACATTCATGTTCCAATTTCACTCCATGAACTGCTGCAACAGCAGCTCTGGGCTAATAACAATGAGAAAGGCCAGGAAGGAGTGCCTGAAGGCTCTGAGTAAAGCATTCATGACCAAGGGCATCTTAGTGTTGCTGCCAGTTTTCTGTTCTTTCCAGCATGTAGAGAAAGAACAGCTAGCTCTAGCTACATTTAAGACCATGGAAAAGCTGTGTTGGACACAGAGAAAAACTTACCGAGTTCTCGTTGAAGGTTTCCTGGATTGAAAAAAAAAAGATACATTGATTAAGTGCTTCACTACAACTTCATAAGTTTAAGCCTGGCACTTTGTGTTCTGTGCGACAACCTCTCCGTGGTGCTTATCCGCATACTGCCAGTGGTATCCAGGGTCCGGCTGCTGAGAACTGTGTCCTTTTCTGCCTATCCTCATTCGTGTGCATGGGCGAGAGAAGTGGGAAACTCTTTTGTGCTTACTTTGACTGTCCTAACTAGCTTTTATCCATTTATTAAGAATCTGAATATATGGGACTGGACGCATCAAATTTCTATGCATGTTCACTACCTTTTACCTGTGAAAATTGTGAAGTTTATAAGAGATTTGATGCTGTAAAAGAAAAGTGGGTCGAAGGCTGCTGAAGCGTCCTGTACGGTAGCATCACTGGTATGACAGCCTAAGGTGGAGGAATCCTCTGCTCAAGAGCTCCAGGGTGGAAGGAGCAAGGTCCAGGTAGGAGTTGTGTCAGGGGATGGTATTGTACTTTTCCATCTAGCTGTGTAGGGAGATGTTTGGTTATACATAAATCCCTCTAGTGGTTTCAGGATGGGATCTAGTACCCATTTGTCTCTAAACAACGGACATCTTTGGATTGCTAGTAGGTCAAGTAAACACCTGTATGTGCTAGAGTCTAAAGACTTGATATTCTTGAGTTTGCTTAACATCTAGAAAAACTCAATTGCTTTTATAGCCAAAAGGAAGCAGTGGAGAGGTAGCCCCCAATTACCATAGTGGTGCTGAGCAGCTGCTTACTTACATAGGTTACTAGGGGCATGATATTAAATATTCTGTAGTGTTTGACTAACCATATGAGTGTAGAGACGTGTGTCAAAAGGCATACACCTATTTCAAGGAAACAGAAATATTTAAGTTTTATCATAATAACAGCTTCACTTTTCCTTAATGGTATGTATAGACATTTGGGGCAGTTAGGTGACAGTTACAGTTGAAAATCGCCACTTGATGTAAAGTAAATTTGGATGGGAGGAGTAGTGGTGGGGTTTGGGGGATTGGCAGGGCAGGCAGTGCCCACAGCGGGCTGAGGGGAGTAGGCAGGGTGTGTAGGCAGGTGTCTGGGAGATTGGGGCGGGAAGCAGGATGCATGGAAGCCACAAGAGGGGGAAGACAGTGTTCACAGTGGGGGATATAGGAGATCAAGAGGGCAAGTGGGGTCTGTGCAGGGGATCACAGGGATTGTGGAGGTGATCAGGGTCCATGGGAAGGGGTTTGGAGGGGTCTGGGAGGGTTTGGTGGAATCAGGGGGGCTAGCGGTCTGCTTGAGGACGCATGGGGTTTTGGTGGACTGTATGCACCCCCACACCCTTTAGGACCAGGGACCCTTTTTAGCCTCTGATTCCCCCCACCCCCAGGCAAGCAACACCCCCTGGCAATTGCACTTTGCTGTGCTGGAGGTTTGGTGTGTGGCACAGTGTCTACCTGCCTCCCTTTGGCTGGCTGCCGTAAAATCTTATTCATGCACTCTTTGATTTATTAGAATAAAATTATTCAGTAATTATACTATATATCCCCCCTGTATTTACCTTTTATTCTGAAGAGATATACATTCAGGATTATGAAACTTAACAAAGCCACCAGGATCATGATCAGCGCCACCATCCAGGGATTCACACTGGGAAAAAAGAGAGCTGAAAAACAAGATGCCCAGGGCTTGCTTTAGTTTGTTATTGATGAAAAAAATCAAATGTATTTATTCCAAGGCCATCCATGAATACTTGCGTTCAGGAGTTGCATGAGATATGAACGACCGCAGTAACGCCTAGCATGATGCAAAAATCAGAAATATGCTTTAATAACCAACAAACTGACCTTCGATTGTGCTTTATCATGAATAAACATGAAATATACTATCTCACCTTTACATGGCTAAGTGGAAATTATGTAGCCATATAACTGCAATTTTTGGCAATTGCAAAGTGTTTGGATTCTTGTTCTATCTGTAATGGAAGAGGATCAACCTTTATGTGAACCTGCTAGAAACAAAATCCAGAAATACTTTTAATCCTCCTCCATGTTCTCCATCATCAAAAAACTTCTAGCCGTAGGGTTTGGGGGGTTTTGTGTTTGTTTTATTTGGCGGGGGGTTGCATAAAGCTTTGGGATCTATGTGGAATTACATAATGCTCCCATATCTTCACAGCCATAGTATGGGGTACTGAGCATGCTAAGAAGGAAGGTCTAGGGCAAGCACTATTATATATCGAAACAGTGGATAAAGGCCAAAAAAAAAATCACACTTACAGGGCTATATGCTAAGGGGTTCTCCATTCAGAAAAGCCAGGGTTGGACACTAATGGGGGAAAGGGTGTGTGGTTTTGGAACCGAACTGGGGAGGAGGGGTTAACTGTGGTCAGACCTGAGTGTCATGGGGGAGCTGGATCAGATGTGAATGGTGTGGGGGAGCTGGGGTGGGGTAGGACCCTCAGCGGGGGAGAGGGAGTGGGGAGTGGGTTCGGACAGAACCGGGGGGCAGGTGGGTCGAGGTCAGACAGAAACTGGGGGGGAAGGAGCAGAGTGAGAGCAGAAGTGGGAAGAGTGGTGGCGGGGAAGAGGGGTCAGACCCAAAGTGGAGGGGGAAGCAGGATCGGACCTGAAAGGGGGCTTGGTGGGGCAGGGTTGGAGCCCTACCAGGGGAGTGGGTTACACCTGAATGTGAGGAAGCGGGATCAGACCTGAACAGGGGGAGCAGTGTCAGACCTGAAGTGGGGTGGAGGGGTGTAGCAGGGTCAGACCCAAAGGGAGTGAAGGGGGTGGGTTTGGATATAAAGTTGTGGGGAGGGGTGGGAAGTGTGGTCAGACCTGGAACAGAGGAGACGGGGTGGGGATGGACCCGAAGCAGGGGGGATGGTGTTGGACCTGAACTGGGAAGGAGGAGGGACGGGGTCAGACCTGAACTGGTGGGGCAGAGTAGGACCCTTAGTGGTGGGGGAGGGAGCAGGGCATGGTGTCAGACCCGAATGAAGGTGGAGGCGGTGGAGCATGGCACTACACAAAGGCAGTATCAGATCAAAATCAGAGGTTTAAGGGGGGCGGGGGCAGACCTGAACAGGGGGAAGGGGGGAAGCTTAATCAGATCTGAACAGTGGGGTGGAGTGAGTCTTAGTGGAGGAGAAGGGAGTGGGGGGTGGGGGGGGACAAGAACTGGTGGGAATGCAGGGCGGGGCTGAAGGCAGGCAGGGTCAAACCCGAACCATGGGGGCAGGGTCAGACCCGAAGCAGTGGGAAGGGTGGGGGGGCAGGGTCGGACCCGAAGGAGGTGGGGAGAGCAGGGGGGAGCGGGGTCCAATCCAAATAGGGGGGCAGGGGCATGCGGAGTCAGACCCGAAGTGTGGGAAAGCAGGGTCAGACCCAAAGGGGGAAGTGGTGGGGGTCCAGGGTCAGCCCCATACTGGGGGTCACGGTTAGACCTGAAGGGGGGGATGAGGGGAGTGGGTCCAAACCTGAAGCTGGGTGGGTAAGGGAAGGGTGGGGTCAGACCCGAATTGTGGGGAGTGGTGTCAGATCTGAGCCAGGGGGGCTGGTTTAGACCCAAAGCTGCGGGGAGAGCAACAGGGGAAGTATGGTCAGGCCCGAAGCAGGTGTGGGGGAGCAAGGTCGGACCTGAAGCAGGGGGTTAGGAAGATGGACCGGGGTTGGACCCAAAGTGAGGGGAGGTAAGGACGCAGAGCTCTGTCCCCGCTCACCCCACCATCATTTTTGAGAGGCAATCTGCTAGTACTATTATAAGCATTTTAAACCATAACCACATCTATGCCAGAGGCACGGTGGTACAACTGTTGTGTATATTGTACAATCATAGGTCATCTGTACCTGAGCTCGAGAGTGGGTGGATGGGGTAGAAGGAGGTGTTTCATTAGAGTGTCTCACAAGGGCTTAAGTACTCAGTGTCCCGGGCTTCAAAATGGAGGTGGTGGCGCTTTAACTAAAGCTTGTTTGGTGAGCTTTAATTAAAGTGCCCTTACCACCATTTTGAAACTTGGTGTCACTGAATACACATAGGTCATCTGTACCTGAGCTCGAGAGTGGGTGGATGGGGTAGAAGGAGGTGTTTCATTAGAGTGTCTCACAAGGGCTTAAGTACTCAGTGTCCCGGGCTTCAAAATGGAGGTGGTGGCGCTTTAACTAAAGCTTGTTTGGTGAGCTTTAATTAAAGTGCCCTTACCACCATTTTGAAACTTGGTGTCACTGAATACACATGACACGGAGGCTGCGGGAGCATCCTAATTAGAACACTCCAGCAGACTCAGTTAATTGACTCGGCTCTGATGCACTCTAATTAGAAAGCAGAGGAGCAGGTATTGGGCACGTGCATAGGTGCGCACAGAAAGGCAGGGCTGGAAGGGACCTTGAGAGCAGGCTTGTCCAACATGCGGCCCACAGGCCGCTATGCGACCCGCCAAGCCATTTTCTGTGGCCCGCGGGGCTGCGACGGGAAATGAAAGTAAACTCTGTT